AGAACAATAAAAGAAGAGGAATTAAAAAGACAGAAGATAACAATTGACATTGCATTTAAAATTTTCAAGATCAAAGTTGACTGGAAAGCAGTAATGCTGGAACAGAGTTCCACAAGTAAGAAGTGTGAGAGAAGTAATTGTTAGCATAGAACTTATGGTTAAATCCAACCATTTCAATTGTAAAATGATGAGACCTAGCTGCCAATCTAGTACTGTGTTTCAATTCCTAAAGTGAAGAAACAAAGCGGAAAGCTCATCAAAATAATTACTATTTATAGAAAAGGAACATTATGGTGGTGAGAAAGTGACTGAAGCCAAAATGCCAGGTCATGGCCAATAACATTACAGATTCTTTGGGGGATTTTATTAAGAATCTCTAAATATATAGCTGAAATGTACTGAATGTGATTTATTTGTAAAAATATACCCATCTCAATATATCATTGATACACATGTAATTTCTTCTTCAGCCTCCCCTTCAGGTTCCGTCAGTATGCACAAAAACTTTTCTTGATTGAATTCTAATGAGCGAGGAGCAATAACTGATTAGCTCACTCAACGTGATTTCTGTTTTTCTTTTTTTTCTTGTTCCTATTTTTGTATCCATCTATATTTCTGAGATGAGGTCTTGTAATTATTTACACTATTTACATTATTCGAACTGTTTTCCTCGTCTTTGTTGCAATATTCACAATGTTTCGGCCATTGTATGCTCCAGCCTCCTTCAGGTGATTGGAATTTCAAACTGAACCCTTTATTTTGTCCACCAGGGTAGATTATTCTAGTTCCACATGCCATGCCTCTCTCGTATGTCTCTGTTATTTCCCTTTAACTAAATTCTCCAAGATTTTGTTCACTACTGCAGTAGCCAGGTATTGAACTTACAAATCTTTGAGTCAAGTCACTGGATCCAACTAATGCTTTTAACCATATGTCCTTGAGAACATCAGTGTATGAATTTTTTTGGACTTATAAACTTAATGTCAAAGCTGTTCAGATAATATTCTTAGTGATATATTTGGGGTACTGCAGAAGCTGCAGAAATACATGCCATGGCAGCCATTTGTATTTGACACACTGGACCTCGTCTATATTTCCGTCATCAGAAATGGTTGTTGTTTTGCAGCTGATTTTATTTGTAAGAAATTTTTTTTTTTTTTTACATTTGTAAATTTTTATTTTTTTATCACAGGACATAAAAATACTATCATTGAACTGTCACAGACAAACAGCTTTGCTTCAGCACTGCTGAAAGTGTAAAATTTTCCTTTTTTATTAAAATAATAAAAAAACAAAATTTTTAATTTTAAATAGCTGATTTTGATGTCAGCTAAGCAGCAAAAGTTTGGTTTCTGGTTTGCAAGAAAAAAAGGATGTGAAAAAAAAAACTTAAATGAAAAAGAATGAAAAGAAAAAAAACAACAAAAGAAAAAAAAGAAGGAAACACCCAACTGAAAAAAAATGGAGACCAAGACAGCTTGATTGGAATACACCCAACCTGCCATGTCTAACTGATGTTGGAGAATTCATGTACTAAGCCCAACATTACCACCACCAACTTAAAGGAGGATGGGTTATTGGAGGATTTGGCCAAATTGTAAGCTATCAAAAAAAATAAATAAATAAATCTTCATATTTGACAAAAATACCCAACAAAATTGTCAAGTCCATAAAAGATGATGTGATTAAATCACCATATAAGAGATGCAATTCAGGTAGAACAATTCATTAAAGGTGGAACCTTTTCCATATCAGACATTCTACTGTCCACACCAGAAGACTTTTTTGGCCCTAATGAAAACAAAAAATCTTAAAAATAAAAGATATTCTACATAGAATATCAGGGCCAAAATATCTTCCTTGAAGGAGAAGGATGAGGGATCTGTTTGGAACATCTACCCCCACATCTGCTCCTGTCTATCAAACTAGCTGAGTTAGAGATCTGATTAAACAACTAAAGTGTCATAGCTTTAAGTTAAATAGCAGGACAGACTGGTTCTCATGCCTTGACTAGCAGCCAGAAGGAGAAGAGAAAACTGAATTCAAAACCAACCTTGAGAGGGATGATCTCCATCAGGCTATCTTGCCCTAGTCACAACCACAGCTGTTATGGCTGCAGTACATGTGGTGCCATAACAATCCTAATGAGTTATGGAACTTGTAATCATGAGGAGGGGGGTCACATGGCTCCCAGGGTAAGTTGCAAGATTTGTTATATTTATTTGACCAGATTTGTATACAAAATGATAATTATAGTAGATTCTAGTTGGGAAGATGTAAGGAAATCTTTTCTGGTTTTGAGAAACATGAACTCTGATGAGGAGAGGACCAAACATTTAGCTCAAAATGAATACTCATTCTATTCTACTGATAGATGCTATTTTCTTTTGGGTGAAAACTGCTCTTTCTGAAACCCTGACATTGTCAAGAAAGGAATTATATAAATTATTAATGTTTATTGGTCATGATGTGAATGGTAATTTAGCTGATGCCAATGAAGGAAGTCCACAGCGATTTGTGCCTTTCTCTTTATCATCTATGGAATATGTCCAAATGTGGCATGAGGCATAAGTGTGTTGAGTCATAGGGGCTAACTTAGTGTGACATCTTGAATTAACTAGTAAAGATTTCATACTTTTGAGAAAGATTTGTCAGCCCAGCCCAACTTAAGATAGAATAGTGGTGTTTTTCTTTTCTTAAACTTATTTAACTCAGTGAAGACATGTTCCTTGATCTCTCTTTTTTGTATTGTTTAGTACCCAACATTCCTGCTTTTTATTTGCTCATGCCTACCCCAAGGACGGACAGAAAGTAAAGTTTTTTGCCAACATTAGGAATATTTTGCTTTGTTTTATTTTTGTTTAACTTCAATTTTTTTCCATTTCATTTGTCAAATGACGACCTGGCTTTTTTTTTTAGATATTAGAGTAAGGAACAGGGAAATAAAAGTTTTTGTAAATGTATTTTCTTTAGTTTAAATCAGGGAGAGAAAATTTTTAAATTATTATGTACAGTTGTGGACAGAATTATTCCCCCACCATGCTTCCATAATTACAAATAAAACTGTAATACCTTGAATTTTCATGGAAACTTCATGTGCATTTTTTCACAAATGATGAAATAATGGATTTGAAAGAATCTGCAGTGATGCCCACAACAACATTTTTATTTTCATGTCAAACAATAATACCAAAAAACACAAAAAAAAATTAAACATAGGACAAAATTATTGGCATTCTTGCCTCAATAATCAACTGCGTAACCTTTATCTATGATTATTTCTTTTAATCATTTTTGATATTCCCTTAAAAGATCACTACACATATTGCTAGGTATTTTACTCCATTCTTCCTTGCCATAGCTTCTAGTTCCTCCAAATTTGAAGGACTTCTTTTACTTTTTTCTTCAAATATGCTCATAAATTTTTAATGGGGTTTAGGTCAGGACTTTATGCAGGGTATGTCAATACTTAATTTTGCTGTCATCTAAGTATTTTGTAACAAGTCATACCAAGTGTTTCTGGTCATTATCATGTTAGAACATCAACTAATGCCCCAAAGAAAGCTTTAGTGCACTTTGTTTTATATTATTTTTAAGAATAGCCGAATACTGCTCTTTATACATGATACCCTGTATTCTCACTAGTTCTCCTGGTTCAGAAGCAGCAAAACACCCCCTGAGCAGAATGCTCCCACTACTGTGCTTAATTGTAAGGAGGGTATTTTTTGGTTTGTGAGATTCATTCACTTTCCTCCATACATAACGGGAGTTCATATGAACAAATAATTCTAGTTTGGTTTCATCTGACCATAAACACAGATTTACTCCCATGTTCTAGATGGCTTTTAGCATGAACTAATCTACATTTTAGGTGTTTAGCCTTAAACAAGAGAGTTTCCCTTGGGTGACAAGCTCAAAGTCCTGCTCGATGAAACCATATAGTGACTGTCTTTGTCAATATATTCCACCCTGATGGCTTTACATCATTGACAATGTCCTTTGTCATTAAGTGATAATTCTTTGAGACATCTCTAACAATTTTCCTTTCCATTCTCTCAGAAATTAACCATTTTCTGCCATTCCTTATTTTATTTTCAACACAATGAACCTTGTATTTCTTGATAATGTTACGAATTGTTGATCTAGGAACATTTAAATGCTTGGAAAGTGTTGCATATCTATCACCTCGTTTGCAGACATCAACTATCTTCATTCATAGCTTCTTGTCAAGTTCAGCCATCTTTGCCATAATTGCAGAATGAATGAGTTAACACGGTACATGACATTCACGTCTTCTTCATTACCTTTTAGAATTTTATAGAATCAGATTAATACTATTTCATTTTCAAAGAGTCTTTGTATTAAATGGCAAATTAAGAAAAAAAAAACATTACAATTGCCATAGAGCAATATTATTTCATAATTTCCATAAGAGGAGGAGGGTGAATAATTTTGGACTGCACCAATTTTTAGAAAAATCTATAAATATGAATTTAATAGATCAAAACTTTTTAAAATTTCATGAATTATTCAAAACTAAATACAGAATCAACTACTTATGGTAAATTCAGTAAGTAATTGCAAATATTCACATTTCTTTAGAAAATATGCAAATATTCAGTGGGGGGTGAATAATTCTGTCCACAACTGTATATATCGATTGTTTTTTATTCACCTTTCCACAGGAAATTATAAATATGACTCATTAGAATTTTGGGGGTAGAGAATGTGATTTTTTTTGGTGATTGTAGCATGAAAGATTCAGAATAAATGTGAAGTTATAAAAATGAAGAATGATTGAGTCAGCAAATGTGACAAGCAAAGTTAATGACAGGATAGTGAAAACCAACACATTTACCATCCCTCCATTTTGGTGGGCCTTGTGCCATATTTTCTGTATCAATGAATATTACCTTCATTCAGACTGAATGAATGGTAATCAGGCATACAACGATGTGAACACCTCCCAAAAAAAAAGAAGTTAAGAAATTGTCACTTACGAGAATGTTGCTGATCTTCGCTCTGGCTTTGGCACTGAAATGAGATGAAAAAAAAAAAATTATACACAGAGATAAAAAAAAATTATACACAGAGATAAAAAAAAATAATTGGATGTTAATTCTTTTTTTCTGTGGCCAGAATTCAAAAGAAAAGTTCAGGCATAAAGAAAACTCTAAAATCATGGAAATTATTTCTTCATTTAAAAATGGGATTTTAGACCCACAAAAGAATGAAAAATTTCAAAAATAAAAATTGTAAGCAAAGATTTCAGAATTCCTGGGATGAGGAGCAATTATCACTATTTACATGGGGACTATTAGGCAGGCCGTTTGGGTTTAAGCCTCCAAGTTCACCACAGAAAACTGTCCTACAGGATAATAGCCAAATAGATTAATGCATTGGCTCATGAATTTGATGACGACAGAATAATTGCGAGTTCAATCCCTAGACTCAGTGGAAATGGGTGTGCAATAACTAAGCAGTACTAAAAAGACAAGATATCCATCAATATAAGCAGTGGAATGAGAACAATCTTCCCTTGTAGATTAAATAAAGCATTCAGTTCAGAATTCCTTGTAGGTTAACCAGATCAATATATATTGATATGATGAAGTCTGGAGAGCACAATGGCCGAAATGTTGGGATAACAACAAAGATGAGGACAATAGTCCAAATGTAAACAGTGTAAATAAAGATTCCAGAATCTGAAATGAATTAGATGCTAATGTAAAAAGAAAATTAAAAAAAAAAGAAATTTATTTTAATTCATTGCACTGGAAAAAATTGTTCTGCTTGAAGGTCATTCTTGGAGACAAGGAATTACTCATTTAGGAAAAGAAAAAAAAAAAGATAATTGAAAATAATAATTCTTTTTTTTGTGTCATGTCCTTACAAAAGATGGACGAAAAACTTTTGCAATTTTTTCACAACTTTTGCTTTTCTTAGCAAGATGGAGACAAGGCTTTTTACAATTTTTACAGATTTTACCATTTACCTCTTATGTTTTGTTACTGATGATATAGATATTCATAGTGGGTGCCCCATACTTTTGACCTTGTGCCATATCTAAGCTACATTTAGAAAATCACTATAGATATTCATAGTTGGGATAAGAATGATCTTGAAAAAAAACATACTCTGCCAGAAATAAGGATAGCAAGATAAACCTTTTCAAAACAAAAAACTCTGATCTGGAATTGGAATGAAAGCAGAGATGGAACTGGCCCTGAATCCATCATAAAAATTTAGAATGTGAAATTAATGACTATTAAATACATGAAATACCTTGACGTATGGATCAGTTATAACAAATTTAACACCTGTCTATATTTCTGAGACATGTACTGTATTATGTACACTATTTACATTGTTCAGATTGTTGTCCTCATCTTCATTGCCATATTCATGACATTTCCAACTGTTTTCAGGTGATATATGTTGAAATATTCAACAGAACTCTAGTCTGTGATGGTAGATTGTTTTACAATGTGCCATGACTTTTCTGAATATCTCAGTTTCAGTTCATTCTCTTTAGTAACTCAACTCTTGAGGTTGACCTCTGCTGTGGCCAGGTATTGAACTCACAACTCTTTAGGTCAAGTCACTTTTTGGATTACTCATCCAATGTTTCAGTGAGTGAATTTTAGGGATTTATAAACCTAATGTCTCAGTAATGCTTTTTTTTTTTTTACCAGATCTCATATTACAATTTTTTGTTGTTGTTTTTCTCTAACTCCTTGTATTACTGGTTCCCATATTGTATTCATTTCTATGCTTGGCCAGCTTAAGAGATTTTTGTGGCCTAGCATAAGATTCCTTAATTTTTCGTATTTTCCAGTGATGTTCTCTGTCTATTATTTCAAACTCACTACACAGTGGATGGTGATCTCCCTTTTCCCTCTATAGCAAAATATTAGGCAATAAAGATGAGGATAACAGTCAGAACAATGTAAATTGTGTAAATAATAACAAAGTTAATATAGGAGATAAGGAAATTGAACATGGAATTGGATGTGCTAGGGGTAGTTTCACACAACACTGCAAGAAGCTGCAGAACTGAAATATTAACCTAAAAACTCAAGTAATGTTCTTAAATAGCCTCATCTGATCAGGACTCTCATACGGACAACAAGCATGGTATACAACTCATTCAGAAATGTCTAAACTGTCAGCTGTATACTACTTTCTAAGATTAATGATTGAAAAACGTTTCAGGTAAATGAACACTGTAGGTCTTGAAGAGGACTGTCCTTCATCAGATCTTCTAGACCTGGTACTATAGAATCACAAAGAACTTTACAAAATAACAAAAACCACATCCCTTGAAGACTTTCAATATCAGCAACAACTAAAATGGATGGCACATGTAACTCAAAGAGAAAATAATGACATAAATCAAGATGTGAATTTTCTACACTACATCAAGCAAAAGGTTAGGAGGGAAACCTGCATCAGTACTGTAAAGAGCGATAACAGTGGAGTTGAAAAACTGGTTTGAGAGAAAGATTTTATAAATTTCAACTAACAGTAATGCTGCCTGTTCTGTCAATGAATGCCAAATGTCTCCTTATAGGGAAACAGCTAATCTCATCATTACCATTTGTCTCTGTTCTGAAATCCATTCACACAAGATCATTAAGTAGATTGCTTGCTGTTTCCTCCACTTTCCTCACTTTTAATGTCCTGAGAGTGTTAAATTCTCCAAGCCCTCTTTCTTCATTATATGTCCCAGAAATTTTGTCTCATTCTAATTGTAAGTATCCTTGCTGATCCTATTTTCCTTAAAACATCCTCATTACTCACATGTTTATTCCATGGTATTCTTATCATTTGTTATTTAGTTTCTCAGGGAGTGGTCCTCTTCACCTATCTGTATGTTTGTGAGACATGGACTTTGTATTGTCAGGACATCAAACATCTGGAGCACTTCCAGCAAATGAAGTTCCAAAGAATCCTTCACATATGTTGGGAGAACCACATCACCAACAACGAGGTCCTCTCTCAGACATCTTTCCCTAAAATTGAGGCTACTATCATTCAACATCACCTCTGCTGGGCAGGTCATGTGTCCAGAATGTATCCCACTCAACTCACAAATATCATCCTGTTTGGAGAACTCACCAGTGACAAGAGGCTATGCAAAGGCCTAAAAGACATTTCTGATACAGTCCAACATCGACAATGAGGCCTAGGAAAGCAGTGCTGCAAAGTGATCTTCCTGGCATAGGACCAAACAAGGAGAGGGGGGGACTGAGACTATCGAGTCTAGCGGTCAACGTGAAGATGATCTTGATGTTCCATAAGGAGAGTCCCACTCACCAAACCACGTCCAATCCCCACTCTCCTCTGTGACACTTGCTCATGACTCTTCAGGAGTAGGCTGGGCCTTCACAGCCGTCTCCACCACCTCTACCAGAGGGGAGAAAAAGGGAATAAGGAGAGAGGATGATGACCCTGATGCTTGGATGCTAGCAGGTACCAACTACTATTAGAACCACATCTCTTCTTCATCTGTATGGAAACTGTCTAACATTCATTGCCATATAGGAGATTAGATATTACATAGTAGAGTTTAGCACACTTTTCTTCGTTTCTAATGATATTTTCTTATGTCTTAATGATTAGTTTCTGGAAGACATCTTTCCATATTCATATTTTATATTTTGTTACTCTACAAGCTTTGGCTTGACTTTTGCCCTCAACTCCGGAAGGAATCATTGGTAATAGGGGTCTCTGAATAATGGTAGTACCTTTGAGATCCGGCATGCTGCACTCTCGGATGGACAGGCATAACTGTTCCTCAAGCATCTCCTAAATCTCTCATGTGTATGGCTCCAAATAGTGAAAAAAATAAGCTTTTGATAATCACATGATAGTAATAATTAAAGATTTTACTGACAATACCATGGACTGAACATGTGAGCAATAAGGAAGTTTGAAGGAAAATGAAACCAAGATAGACATTTATACTTAGAATCAGAATGAGAAAGTTAAAATTTCTAGGGCAGATAATGAGGAAAGAGGGCTTAGAGAATTTGACACTCACAGGACATATTGAAGGCAAGAGGTATGGGGGGGGGACAACAAGGAACCTATCTAATGAGATTTTGTGAATAGATGGCAGAAGGGCTGAGAGGGATGATGAAAAGACAAATTTTTAAACAGAGCTACAAAGGACAGGATGTCGTGGAGAGTCATGTGCACTCACATCCTAAAGGGAAATAGCATATAAATGAAAAAATTTATTTAAAACTGTATCTCCATTCAAATATGAAGTTTTTCATCAGTACAATATAAGCAAATAAAACAGTATCAGTACAAATCAGTACAATAAACTAATAAAATCATTACAACATAAATTTATAAAAATCAAACACAATATGGGGAGCTGGGTCCCCATCTGTGTATAGCGGGGGGGGGGGGTAGTTGAACATAGATCTCAATGCAACAAACATTAGAAATATCAATATGTATTCTAATATATCCAAATAAAATTTTCATCTCTTAAATTTAGAAATCTTATCTCGAATCTGTCTTATAATTTATTATAATATTTTTTTATAGGTTGATGAACAGGAACAAATCGATATCTTTTAAGAAATCTTTAAGTACTGATGAAAATATCCGTGAACAATACTTGTGCTATGTGTAATATAAAAGTCTGCTATGATTATCTAAGAAAAATATTCAAGCTGAAGAGGCTTAATAAAAAAAGAAAAATATCTGTTGACCTACAACTGGTTTGAGAATAAGATGCAAATTAGAAATTGACATACTGTGCACTTAACAATACCAGCAACTAAAATGAAGTAAGTCTATAGACCTCCTTATAATGTGTCAGAATTGGTAATGGTAATATTAGCCACTTCCCTATAAGGAAACATTCAGCATTCATTGGTTGAGCTGCCAGTACATTGAAAATTTATTAAATTTTTCTCTCAGATCAATTTTTCATGAAAATAAGTTACTCAAGTCCAGTAACAGTTATTGCTCTTTCCAGTATTGATGGGGGAGGGCTTCCTTCCTAACTTTTTGTTTGAAGTAGTGCAAAACTATTATGTCATTATTTTCTCTTTGAGTTACATGTGTTTTCCATTTTAGCTGTTACTGCTGTTGAAAGTCCTTAAGTGATGTGCTTTCTATTCTCTGGTACAGTTCTTTGTTTGTGATCCTGTAGCACCAGTCCATAATGAATACAACTGACATATTTCTGAATGTGTTTGGTGTCATGGTCTCAATATAACAAGGTTATTTAAGAGGTTTTAGGTCAATATTTTAGTATTGAAGTAATTTGCAGTGTTGGACAAAACTAACCCTAACACAGCCTATTCTATGTTCAATTTCCATATCTCCTAGATTAGATTTGTTATAACTGATCCGTACACCAATCTATTTTGAAGTGTTTAGTATTTATTAATTCAACATTCTGAATTTTTAGGATGGATTCAGGGTCAGTGCCATAAAGGAAATCTAAAATGGAACTAGGTACATTGCTCTGGCAATGACGATCAAAAAAAGAAATGGGATTGGTTTGCTTTTACAACAAGAATGGTTACTCTTTTAGATCTTTTTGCATTAATGTGGGTGTCCCCCAGGGTTCTATCCTTGGACCAGATGTTGTTCTTAATTATCATCAATGACCTTCCCAATGTCATCAGTACTCAACTTGGTATCTATGTTTATGACACAACTATTTACACTTGTAAATCTGACCAGTTCAATAAGGTCAAATTGATAGCTGATCTCAGAAATGACCTACAATCTTTTGTTAACTGGGGCAAGAAATGGCTTGTTCATCTTAATGCTTCCGAAATGAAACTGCTCTCTTTTAATTGTCTTAGATGGCCTTTTCATGCTAACCTCCATGAGAGTGACTCATTGTGCCTTCTTGAGCTAACGTTTCCCTCCAAAATGAAGTGGAAAGATTCTATTGGACCAATTGCTAGGTCAGCTGCTTGGAAAGTTGGTTCAATGTGTCATGCTAGACAATTTTTCTTGCCGGAATCTATCTTTCACATTTATAAATCTAGCATTTACATCTATGCACTCAGTATTACTATCACATCTGGTCTGGTGCTTCTGCTATGTATTTAGAAATTCTTGAAAATTCTTTTTTAAAAAAAAAAAAAGGGAATCTGCAGTTACTTTCCCACCACTGTAACATAGCTTCCCTCTGCCTTTTCTATAAATATTTTCATGGTAATTTTTTTTGATGAGCTTTCCACTTTGTATCTAGTCTTTATGAATTTAAGTGCAGTACAAGATTGGCGGCAAGGTCTCATCATTTTACAGTTAAAATGGTTAGATGTAACCATAAGTTCTATGCTAACAATTTTTTTCCCCACACTTCTCGTTTGTGGAACACTCTTCCAACTCGATGCTTTACAGTCAACTTTGATCTTCAAAAATTGAAATGCAATGTCAATCATTATTTACTGTCTTCCTGATTTACTCTTCTGTTATTGTTATTTCTTAGTAATGGTTCTGTTTCCTAATTCTTCCATATCCAGTAACCTCTTGTTTCTTAGTGGCTTTATTGCCTTGTTTGGGGTGAGCTCGATTAAAAAACAAAACAAAAAAAAACTTCCCGAAAGTAATTCCAGTAATTTTTATACTTACACAGACTCTGTAAATAAGAAACTGTTCATTTTTTACTAATTCTGCTATAAACTTCTTTCCCTTATAGCTCTAATCTTCAAATATTCAAATGTAATGTCAATCGACATCTGATGCCTTGAAATTAGTCCCCGTCCTTCTCCATATTCTTTCCTCAAACACCCCTCCTTATTCTTATTTTCACTCTCTGTAACCCCTTGGGTGCTAGTGGCACTCCTGTCTTGCTTGGGGTAAAATGCTTAAAAAAAAAAAAAAAAAAAAAAATAAAAAAATAAAATAGAAATTAAATTTCTCTTCATTCTTCAATTGCTTAAATTTGAATTTAGAACAGATTGCTGTTTGAAATAACTGCAAGTGATTGCCTGGCATTTGATCATCTAAATTTGATGTATGTGGAATGGGTAGCCATGGTCAAATGCAAGATAAATGGTAGAACTGTCCAACAAACAGAATTGATAAAGTTTGCAATAAGCAATAACAAGAAAAAGAAAAGAAAAAAATGCAATCAAAGAGCAAGAAATTGTGACACTGGGACGTCAGGGAGTTAATCAGAAGAAAGAAAAAGGACAGAGATTACTAACTGGATGTTAATTATTGAAATTCTCAGCTAAAGTGGATTGAAAAGAAGAAAATTACAAACAAAATGCACTAAAAATTATGTTTTAAAATAATAAAATCAAATCAAAAATAGTTCCAAGGAGAATCAAACCCAAATTTAACTAAATGAAATTCAGTAAGATTGAGCAAAACCAAGACTACCAGTCCTTCCCCACTTCCCACTGATAAGAAAGATACAATTAATGTAACATTGAAGATGTTGGTCCTGAAAAATAGAAAAACTTATGTTGTGCATAAAGAAAGTCGGTGGTCATCAAAATAACATCTAAATTTTTCTGAACAAAAAGCCAGGAAAAACATCTGGTTTATATTAGCCACCCAGAAAAAAAATATCCCCATGAATATAAAGATTAGCAGCTAAGATTAGGAATGGGTTTATTTTAATTTCTGTGACATTCATCAAAATTTTTATAGCTGACATTACTTAGGAGTTTTTGGAGACAAGCTGATAAAGAAAGATTAATTACTAGCCTGGAGTAAACATCAGCAATAGGCTGTGTAGTCTTGTTTCAGAAACACATAAACAGAGAACGATAATTTTTTATTATTATTAAAGTTATTGGGAATATCTTCTTTTTCTTTCCCATCCATGATAACCGGAGGAACAAAACAATTCTTGAAATTGACTGGCAGTGGGCTATTCGGATTTGCTCCACTTATCTTAGATATGGTCAAGTCCCTGGTTTCAAGAAATCACCTAAAACAACCAGCATGAGACAAGCTGATAAAGAAAGATTAATTACTTTTTGCCTACACATTCTAAAAGTTTAGATTTGTCACAAAGACAGTTATACTAGTCTTTGGGAATGG